GGTCCCACATTTTACCACCTTTTGCTGTAACGCAGGTTTTTAACCCAACTGCAGAAAGAAGGGAAGTGTCTGGGTAGAGGAAGAACATGTTTTCCAAAGATTTTAATAATTCTGGTAAATGGTAGGGTGAATGCAGAACAGCATGGTAGATAAACTATAACTTTATGTCCATTCCTAGTTTGGTCCAGATACTTTAAAAGTATTAAAAATTTATAGATATTTAAAATTATTTTAAAATGTTAATTCATGTTTCATAAGTCAATTATGCTGAAATTATGATCTGAGACCTCCTTACAGTGCTGAATCCAACTCTCTAAAGTAATGGATTTTGTTTCATACAGGAAATAAATCTTCAGTTCAGAAACTGTATAGGTGTGATGTTTGTGACTACACAAGCACAACTTACGTCGGTGTACGAAATCACAGACGAATTCATAACTCCGATAAGCCATATAGGTAAGTGTCTCAGTTATTGCTGGATAATGCCACGTGCCTGGTTTACTTCTCTTAACTAAAAACGTTACTTAATTGCTCATGCAATTTGGAAGGTATTGTTAAAGAATTTCAATTACATAATTTTACTGCAAATTTGAGGGAGCCACACTTGCTAGTTGACTCAAACTGTGTAGATCTGCTAACTTTTCCAGGATGCATCTTTTGCTATAGCAGTCTACTCCTTGTTTTCAGTTCAAGGCATTCAGATGTGGAAAGGGAAATAATTACATTGTAATATTAAACATTACCCAGTAGTAATAACATATTTCTCAAACTCCTTGCACACTTAAGTTCATTTTGGATTTGCTTTATTGCAAAGTGTTCTCGATTGTCATATTCCTACTTTGCACATTGGCTTCTGCAGCAAGGGAAAACTCTGCCCTTTGTCTTGTCACCCGTACCCTCATCTTTTTCACAGGTTTCAAACAAAATTAACACTCTCACTTAGGATCAGATTTTATAACTTTTCTACAAGGATTTATATAGAAACTTTGATACCCAAAATTATGTGTAATACTATAGCTCAGGTCCCCAGCAGAAAAAGAAATCATGCACTTTTCTATTGGTTGCTGCATAAATTCTTGCAAATTCAATCTGTGCTCATTCAGTGTGGATCTCTGTCCCTCTCTAGTGGCTAGAAGATAGATCTGAATTAATAGATTTTTTGAGCTAATGTACTTCTATCTTTTTTTAATACAAATTCTGGAAACTCAACACCTTGAAGTCCTGAGCTCAGCCAGGGACTTTCTTTTTCGAATAAACAAACCCAGAAGTGGTGGTGTGTTTTGATTCGTGCATTATAATGATATCCCATAACACTAGCAAAAATTTGCAAGATGTTTGCTCAGAGACCAAATGTGGAATACAAATAGGTATTTTTTTCTTCTCAGAATCTTTGCTATTGCCATTATTTGTTACTTAGTGGAGTTGGAACAGCAGATACTGTAATGCATTGTATGTGGTAGTTTTCTGAATTGGTGTTAGCCAACCCGTTTGATTTAGGAACCACTGAAAAATTTCCACTGGTGATATAGACTGCTGTGTACTAAATTTAAGCCTATTGATTTGGCCTGCTTTTCTTACTATTTTTTCATAAACCCCTTAGAAAAATCTGCAGACCTTTTAGCCACAGCCTAAAAACCATAAAGACCCAGTATTTATGGTAGTTCTCCTTCTGAAACATCTATTCGTCAAGCCTTTCATAGTATGAGATAGCAATCTACTATGCTGCTGCCATTTCTATAGCTGTGAATATATTTTATCTTTTGTTTACCAAAGATTGCTGGAAATTAAACTGTATAGCCTCCAATGATGCATTTTTGTAGATTTGATACCTTCTGGATTTTAATACCACACAATTCAGTCCTTTCAAAAATAAAGTGATTAATCTCAAGGTAAGCATCTTGCAGTCTTGAACTGTTTCACACTAGAGACCAGACTTAGTAAATATTGGACATTTTACCATTTCAAAAAAAGAAACAACTGAAGTCCTAATAACTTCATAGTTTTAGCTGAGCTTGATGGCTTCTGTTTAAATGTGTTACATACAGGAAGCTTGTGTGGTAGCATGTTGAAATTTATGAATAGCATAGTATTTGTGTAATTCATTGGGATCTAAATCGAGATCTAGGCTATTTTATGTATTGTTTTGATACAAAGATATTGTGACAGAAGAAAAAAATTAAAATTTAGACAGGATGATGTAACACACTTGTCTTAGGGTACTTGAACCTAAATACGGTGATCTTGACCTTAACTTCTATTTCAGATACAATGCTCTGAAACTTAGATGTTTTATTACTGAATAGATAGTTTGGCTTTTAAAATGCCATGAGAAACACGGCTGTTACATTAAGTAGAACATGTATTCTTGAGGAACAAGACTCACTTCTAAATACACTATGTCCCCTATAGCTCTTACGGTCATATTCTGCCTTTGCATAACATAGCCAAGCCACTTGCATCAGGGCTTCACTGTCCAGCTGCATCCACATCTCTCTTATACTTCGTGATGCTCACCAGCTTCAGTAGAGGCACACCACATAGATGTCAGGAAGGAACGCAGTCCATATGCCTAGTGATTCTTGCTCAAGGGTGGAGGCTTTTTTGACGTGCAAAAGATTCTCACGGTCCAAAAATTGAAACTTAATGTTATCACTTGGACTTCTGTAAATACTGTTAGTCTTTAACTGGAGTCTTTCCAAATACCTTTGCTTTCTCATAGATTTTTATTTCTGGAATAGCGTTAGCAGTTGATTGTCAGATTAGTTTACTTGTTGTTGTCTCTTTAGATGTCGAGTATGTGACTTCGCCACCACAAATATGAATAGCTTGAAATGCCATATGAGGCGCCACCCCCAGGAGCATCAGGCAGTGCAGCTAATGGAACAGTACAAGTATGTAACAGTTCTAATTTGGCAAAAAGCTGTGATAGTAGTGATTTTGTTATGTTAAGATACAAAGGAGTTCAGATTCTGTTCTTTTTCCTCCTAGATTAATTCTTTGTTCCAATGATTTTTTTTCTTTTTGAGAGAGAGAAAGAGAGAGATTTGCTGTGGCCTTCCCAGGTGATGTTTATACTAGCTAATTAAATATGTCCCTGACCTCCCTCTGGTACAGTATTCAGCTTTTTCCTTTCCAGAATGGGGTGGTTGCACATAAACAGTGTATCGCAAGTAGCTTCTGGACCATGATAATTACCAAAGCATGCCTGGAATTGTTTGGGAGAATGCTTGTGCCAAAACCATGCCAGGGGCACTTCTAACATTTAACTTTACAGATTGTTAAATTCCAGTTCCCAGGAATGTTCTCTGTCTTTGTTTAATATCCTAGTCTCGGCATAGCCTTTGCATATACAGGTTAGTTAGAATTCAGATTGGCGTCACATTGCCCTAGTTAAGAATCAGTATGAATAGCCATTATTATTAAGTGATGAGTGTCCTTTATAGTCTGTCCAGAGACAGGTGTGTTTTATGTAAATTTATACATGTGAGAAAGTTGGCACAAATAAATGCAATTGTTTATTAGTAATTTGCAACCAAAAAAGAAAAGCTGGGAAAGGAAAGAAAACCAGGAATATTCTGAATATTTCATAGTGGAAGATTTTAAAGCCAGTAGGAAGAATCCAAATAAAGCACATTCACATCTGATTTCTTCTCAAGAAAATCTGCTTCTACAACTTCAAAGGCCTTCCACTGCATTTTTTCCCCAAAATGTTCCTAGTAGCATTAAGTTCTATTTGCTCTGCAGTCATCCATTAAACAGTATAGCCGAGTGCTCTTAGTATTACAGAAGATTCCTGAAAACCTCCACACTTTGGTCCCTGTATCCCCAAGGAAACAGTCTATCAAAAGTTGCAAGATAATTGTTTCCTCAGTAAATCAATTTAGGATACACTTATGCAGTAAAGTTTAATAATTCAACATAGGTCAGCCAGTAGGGCAAATCAAGCTATAGAATTGAAAGAGTGCTACTTTTTAATTCAAAGGTAAAATAATTTTTTATCTGGGAATATCTTACATATACTGTGACTGTACGTCAAGACGTGATCATAAAGTGCAGTGGCTAAAAGCTGTTGAGTTTCTGTGTCTTTGATTCAAACTCTATGGTAAAGCAGTCAACAGCATTTGGCTCATGATATTTTTCTCAGCAAAGCAAATCTGATTAGTAAATCACCTGAGTAAATTAATATACTTCAAAAACTGAGACTAATTAAAAAGGGATAAGAACAAACACTGAATTGTCACTTCATTCACTGTGTTTCTAATCCACTGACCAAGCTGTGTTAGTGGCACAGAAAACTCATCTATATAAGACAACAAGTGGAATACACGTACATATAGACTGGAATTAAGATTATGTGTGTATCTCTGTGTTCTGCAAAAAAATTATTTTGAGCTAATGACCAATCTGAATCACCATCCTTGATGTATTTAAAAGCCACCTAGGAACTTGGTTTAGAAGTGGGTATGGTAACAGTTGGACTTGATGATCTTTAAGGTCTTCTCCAACCGTAATGATTCTACGATTCTAATTTTATCTATAAATTAACTATAATGTCTGCCTTTTATCTTATTTTTAATGATGCCATTATTCTTTAACAGCCTTATTAGAAATGGTAAGATTCTCAACCTGAGAGTGAACTGGCCTGTATTTGAAAGCAACCACTTTCTTTATAACGCTTCAAAATAGAAGGGAAAGA